CTCGAATCCGTACATAACACCGGCCACTGTCCACACACAAACAAACAAACACACACAGACACATTCATGCACAAACACACAGTACTACAGCCAGTATCACCCCTGAAATGCGCACACCACTTGACTACAGACAACACTCACAATCACTGGTGTCATGCACGCCTTCAAAGTGTCAGAGTGAAATCCACAATGACACACGCCCACATGTTGAGTGGATGAGGTGGGAAGACATGTGACTCATTGGTTGTGGCCCTCATGGATTGAAGTTGTTGAGGGTCATCCGACTGTCGTGAGGTCTGCCTACCATGTGAATCGTGCATGTGACGAACTCGACGACGACGACTGTGTGTGTTTGTGTGTGTGTGTGGTTTTGTGAGTGCGCACATGACTGAAGTCGACAGATTTGCACAGACTTCATTCACAATGACATCGTGCAATTCGATGATGTTCTTGAGAGACAGAATTTGATGCGTGGAGTGACGTTAGCAGTGATGAGACACCAGTGTGAGTTGGCGATCAATGTAAGTAACAGCGATCACGACATGCAAAATCTCTCCGAGTGTACGTGTTTGTTGTATGAAATGTGAGTGGGCGATCATACTCACTGAATCATCACTCGCCAACACCTCACATCTCGGCCGAAATCGCCATCAACAAATGTCAGCCAGGATTGACATTCATTCACCTGTCGTCGTCTCCGTTGTCACGATGAGGAAGAGTGTAGTGTATATTGATTGACACGCTGCCGACTCATTCACTACACTTGCCACACTGCTTTCTTTTTCAGAATCCCCAAAGGCTGAGATAATCGAGGAGGAGGAAATCGTACCGGCGTCGTCAGGTGAGTATATTTCACACTCACACTCGAATCCGTACATAACACCGGCCACTGTCCACACACAAACAAACAAACACACACAGACACATTCATGCACAAACACACAGTACTACAGCCAGTATCACCCCTGAAATGCGCACACCACTTGACTACAGACAACACTCACAATCACTGGTGTCATGCACGCATTCAAAGTGTCAGAGTGAAATCCACAATGGCACACGCACACGCACATATGTTGAGTGGATGAGGTGGGAAGACATGTGACTCATTGGTTGTGGCCCTCATGGATTGAAGTAGTTGTGTGTCTTACGACTGTCGTGAGGTCCGCTTTACCATGTCAATCGTGCATGTGACGAACTCGACGACGACGACTGTGTGTGTTTGTGTGTGTGTGTGGTTTTGTGAGTGCGCACATGACTGAAGTCGACAGATTTGCACAGACTTCATTCACAATGACATCGTGCAATTCGATGATGTTCGTGAGAGACAGAATTTGATGCGTGGAGTGACGTTAGCAGTGATGAGACACCAGTGTGAGTTGGCGATCAATGTAAGTAACAGCGATCACGACATGCAAAATCTCTCCGAGTGTACGTGTTTGTTGTATGAAATGTGAGTGAGCAATCATACTCACTGAATCCTCACTCGCCAACACCTCACATCTCGGCCGAAATCGCCATCAACAAATGTCAGACAGGATTGACATTCATTCACCTGTCGTCGTCTCCGTTGTCACGATGAGGAAGAGTGTAGTGTATATTGATTGACACGCTGCCGACTCATTCACTACACTTGCCACACTGCTTTCTTTTTCAGAATCCCCAAAGGCTGAGATAATCGAGGAGGAGGAAATCGTACCGGCGTCGTCAGGTGAGTATATTTCACACTCACACTCGAATCCGTACATAACACCGGCCACTGTCCACACACAAACAAACAAACACACACAGACACATTCATGCACAAACACACAGTACTACAGCCAGTATCACCCCTGAAATGCGCACACCACTTGACTACAGACAACACTCACAATCACTGGTGTCATGCACGCATTCAAAGTGTCAGAGTGAAATCCACAATGGCACACGCACACGCACACACACGCACATATGTTGAGTGGATGAGGTGGGAAGATATGTGACTCATTGGTTGTGGCCCTCATGGATTGAAGTATTTGAGGTTCTTCCGACTTTAGTGACATAGGCCTTTCCATGTTATTCTTGTTTTTGCTGATGGCCGTCTCGTTGTTTTATGATATTGAGTTCTCACTGTTAAAGCATTTTCATATAAGATTTTGTTATTGTGTTGGTTTTATACTGTAGTTTTCCTTGTGACTTTTGATATTCCGAAGCACATTTATACCCGTTAACTAATATCTGTGTTTTACACTGGGATGTGGCGAAACACAGTATTAACACTTCCAGATAAGCATTAACCTCAACTGCCTGCTTCGACTAACTCCTGGGTGTGTAGGTTTAGACGCCTCATAGATTTTCCTGTGAGGTGGTTGCAGACAATCGGCTCCATGCTTTGCACCTAGATGTCACATTGCATCTGAATACATCGATTACTGTCTTAGAGGATGTCAATCGTGAGCCCGAATTGCTGATTGGTAAGGTGTTTGACTGTGGAATGGGCTACTGACGCAAGCTCAAGCCTCAAATGAGACATGAATTGTATCTAGGGAGTGAGATTCGCCTTGCTGTAGAGTTCCAACGCATATTGACAACTTGAATGATTGCGTTCAATTGAGAATAAACACAAGCACTAGACACACGATATTGGTCACTTTCCAGAAGATGAAATAGTTGAGAACGGACTGCAATGAAAACTGACTAATAATGGTCGTCTTGTTTGAAATGGCTATCCAGTTGCATTTGATTCATTATCCTATATGCTTTGTGGTGACATTTCAAGAATTGTTTTCGATGGAAATTAGAAACTCGTTAGTCACTGTGAACATTGTGAGGCATTGCTTTTGTCTGCTTTAATAGCCACTCTACTGGCACAACAGGGAGTTGACAGTTTCAGTCCTCAATATCTCGAAGGCAATGCACAAAGAGGTAAGTCTTCTGTACTTTGATATTTGTCATCAAAGTTTGCATAATTTGAGTGTATTTTGATTTCGAAAAAGACATTGGTTTGCTCATTATTTGGTAGCGTGTATGTGAGATGTTTGTGATTTAACTGGAGCACACTTGGCGGGCGTTGTTTCATGTAACAATAAATGAAACCTGGTATGATACTACTGGTTTAGTTTACGACTAGAAGAAGTTGTTTGGTGAGAAGTGGAAAGCCCAGGTTTCGTGCGTACATGGCCTCCCAGGGAACTGACCTCGCGTGAATGGTTCACTGGTAGAACGTTCGCTAATCATGCACTCCTAAACCTCGGTCATCATCCAGTTAAAGAGGAACGCTTGAGTGTAGGACTGGCTACCCCAACCAGTTGAATGTGCCACTGGTAATGATTCTCCATAGCTCCAGCTTCAGTCAGTATGTTCCACTCGAAACACAACGGAATGCAGAAATGCACTTGTTAACAGGTTGCATTGCCAAACTTCGTAGACATCATGTTCACTTCAGATTCTGGTGCGATTTGTTCTCCCTTGATGTCAAACAAAACACAAAACATTGCACCATAATCTGTAGCAGTGTTGTGCTGCTTGAGTATGCTCACCACACATGTGGATGCCTACCACTTGAGAATAGACAGTTGAATTATTAATTATGTAGGAATGGATTGATAAATCTGGTTGAATCAGTGTCGAATACAGCTCGTTTCATTTTGTGTTCTTACTCAATGGCAGATTGTGACAGAACTAATCTGTTTTCGGACATATTTCAAGTGGTATTGCTTTTCAAACTGATTGTGTGATTCGAATAGTAAATGCAAGAGAAGGCGTTCGGCGAATAGTGAATATCTTCAGCCATGTTATTCTCAAGCTGCACATTAGCATATGTGTAGTGCATATTCTAAGCAGCGAAAGCAATATTCGTGAGGAAGTGTGATCAACACTGAAGATTTCAGATGACGCATTACGTAGTGTGGAATGCGTGAATTCGGTGGAGACCAAAACCAAATGGAACAAGTCAAATGAGTGATGCAATATAGCTGAAGGGGTTGAGTATCAAGCAACTGAAATTGAACGGATGTCACATTAGCAGCAGTGGTGATAATGAGTGAAAATTTAGTAGATGGTGGTGGGAGAATATAATTGAATTCGGAAGCAAACAACACAGGAGTTACTTATCCAGTGTTGAGATAGATCTGGTCCAGTGTAGATTTGGGACTGAACAGTATTCCTTTGCATGCAGAGTTCAGGATTCCACGTGTGAGCTGTCGTTGCTTCTGGAGTCTGAAGAAGTTTGATTGGCACACTTTCAGTAAGATCACCACGTAATAGGTGGATACTTTTTAAGTTATCTAGCTGGTGTGCTTAATGTTCTGATCGCATCAAGAGTGCTGGGATAAATAAGTGGCGAGGGAATCTCTCCTCTCCTCTCAGAAATCATGAAGGTGAGTGTTCGATGGTGCATTTGGATAGCGAACACTGGCTGCGACCGACATTCCCATCTCCCCAGGATCATGTGAATTGGTGGATGTACATTGCAATCGAAACCTGACGCTGGTTCCATGCGAGTTGAATGATACTCAACCCCTTCAGCTATATTGCATCACTCAATTGACTTATTCCATTTGGTTTTGGTCTCCACCGAATTCACGCATTCCACACTACGTAATGCCTCATCTGAAATCTTCAGTGTTGATCACACTTCCTCACGAATAGTGCTTTCGCTGCTTAGAATATGCACTATACATATGCTATTGTGCAGCTTGAGAATAACATGGCTGGAGATATTCACTCTTCGCCGAACGCCTTCTCGTCTCTATGACTCAATGGGTATTTTTAAATGATGAAGAGCTGAATTGAACTTCACTACCAAGTCACTGTAACTATGGAAGCCGGTGAAAGTTTCCTCCGACTTGTTGGCATCACTCAACCTGTAGATCAGTAGCTATTGAATTCATCTCGACTGCATTTGAGGCCAGCAGATTTGAGTGACTCTAACAACAGTGCAGTGAATAAAGGTTCCTTGTTTGAAGTGGAAATTGTCGATTGCCAGTAACACATTTTTGTGCATTTGTTTTTTCCAGGGAAACGTACAACATTCAGGCTTCTTCAGGAGAAGACAGACTCCCTGGTATTCGGATGGAATCGATTTGATGAGAAAGGCATTTCAAAGCTGATTTTGGAACGGGAAGTAGACTGGGCCTTTGATGATACTTTGGATCTCCCCTTGGTTAATCAATCAGAATTCAATGTAATTGGGCAATCATGCATACCTGAAAATTATCATATAATTGCAAAGACGTCAGGCTACTTTGGTCACTATGAGGAGGCAAGGAGGAGTCTGATATACGAACGAGGTGAGTACATTTTGTGCTGCAAACTTTCATGAACATTTCAGAGTCCATAGCTACTAGAAAATAGTGGAGTCTGTAGCTGCGTCAGTCACTGAAGAGGAAGTCGCTGCTGCTGCTGCTGCTGCTGGATTCAACATAGAACTTGGCACCGAAGTGCAGCAGTTCGAGTTGCCACATTTCAAACAGCACACAAAGGTAGACAGGAAGATGAGTGAAGAGAATCAGTATAGTTTTGATAAGTATAGGAGTGAAACAGAATGAGTAATGGTAGAAAGAAATATGAAAGATTACAGAGACTGAATACATCTGCGTAAGCCATTGACAACGATTTTGAGCCATGTCACCTATTGTCTCCAGCCAATGATTCTTAGAGTCCCGAAGGCAAGCCCCAACCCGGAAGTCTGCATCTCCCTACCTGACTCAGTTTAACTGTCAGGGATTTCATGGATTGATGCCACGTTTTTGTTTGGCCACCACTTACTCTTTTCCAACCTGCACCTATATCAGCTGGTAATGCCCGTCGGGGGAGGCGATGGTTAGGCATGCAAAGCACGTGACTTAGCCATCTCAATCTATGTAACTTTATAGCCTCGTCGATTGATTTTCCCTCTTTGCCCAACACTCTACACCTGACGTCAACGTGACTTACATTTTTATGCCACCTAACGTGAGAAAGAGATCGCAAACATCTATGATCAAAAACAGACAATCTTTTCATGTCTTCAACTCGCATTGGCCATGTTTCAGAGCCATAGAGAAGGACGGAGCCAACTGCTGAGCAGTACACACGTCCCTTGGTTGATAGCCGGATGTCACGCCTACGCCAGAGACGGTGTAAGCTAGCGAAAGCAGCCCGAGCACTTTGGATCCGTTCTGAGATTTCGTCACCAATCAATCCGTTGGTGCTGATACAACTTCCCAAATAGATGAAGTGGTCAACATGTTCTATCACTTCACTCCCTATCACTAAGCTAGGAGTTGACGTAGTCCAGTCCTGTAGCAGCATCTTACATTTTACAGGGGCGACTCGCATGCCAAACATACGAGGATTGCTGCTCAAGGTGTTCAGAAGACTCTGCATTTTGTCAGCATACTCCCCTAAATCGAATGCGTGAACAGTGTAGTCTAGACCCACCCAGCAGATACTGGACATTGAATGGAATCATAAGAGACGTTGTCCGTCAGCTACGCCTTCCTAGCAATCTGTCCAGATGACCTCGACTACGTCTTCCATCAGTAGCTGAAACGGTAGCAACCAGTGCTAGGAGACCCGATCGCCGTATACAGAGGCGGTATGCCTAACCGCTTTGTCTACCATGGACAACGTTGGCATTTAAAATTCCTGAACCACGTTCTCCCTTTTTATCCTGTGGTTTATTTACAGATGTTTATTTGAGACCTCCTACAGCTTAGCAACCTCAGGTTGGCGCAATGCTTCTCAAACTTGATATTATATTTCCACAATGGTGTTCATTCCACTTGATTTAATTCAGTCTTGCCTGATGAAGGTGTGCTGATAGGACGTTTGAGTTGACACCAGCCCGTCGTTATTTTTTCATCAATATTGTTGTCCAGTTCATCGCATTTCTTGGTCTATTTGCCGTTAGTATTCATATTGTCTCACACATCACTGACTACAGACACCTTTGAAGACTGCGCTTTTGTTGGCTACGTAAATATTCACATCACTGAATTATTCAACTTCATTCTGTCGCATTTTCTCATTGACCACACGTATTCGAGATGGTGATCGGAACTCACTGACCACTACTACCGATCCGTCTTGTGTGTGCACCACTCAGAACATTTTGTGATTAATTCCAGTTCCCCGTTACTGACAGTATTGTCTGCTAGAATGAGTGGATTTATCATTGAATAACCTGAGGGAGAGTTCATTGAAAACCATTGTTCACCGTAGTTATTCTTCTTCCGAATAAATCATGAGGATACTGAACAAAAGACAACAGGATGAAACTTATTTTGGCACAAGTGAATCAGATGACTGAAAATTATTGACTTTAGAAAGCCCGAAGTCCTAGCTGATATTTCGATACTTTACAAGTGGTGAAAGCATCGTGATTCATCGACACTTTCTTTTCACATTCCTACTAAATCACTAATAACTCTAATTATTTGCATTCATTCACACAATCTCCACCGTGCACCCTATCGCCTTGTGAATGTTCACGATTTTCTTTTCTCTGTCAGTTCCGAGAGTTGCAAAGGTTGAATTCGAACCGTTGTCAAATAGAAATCAATTGGTGAAATGGACGTTGGAAGGTTCTCCGTGCCATCCCAGTGACAGTGTTATCATATTCGAAGGACAAGCTGATGAATCTCTGGAAATGACCATTGTTCCTATTGAAAGTGCAGTACCTACGAAAATAAGAAACTCGAAGGACGTTGTCATCATTTTGGCAGTTCTCCATGAAGAAAGATTCTCTCTTCCGACTCTAGGTAACTGATTCAATAATTAACAAAATTGTGTGTGAAACCTAAATTATTTCAATGCTAACATTATCTATGATATAGTTAGTTAGTGTGCATGACGCGTAATTTTGTCGACTACAGCACAACAGATTGATTTTCCCTGGTGTGTACATAATCAATGCACTCATGCGAAAATGGTGGGCATCTCTCAAAAATGAAGTCGATTGTAACGATCACCACTGAGAAACCAAATGCACAGACAGAATAACTAGACATGGAAACGGAGATAAAGGTGACATATTGAAAAAGGAATAAGTGTTGGTTCGCAGGTATTTGATTGGTCACAGGACTGATCGCTGGTTGTCATCACTCGACGAACAGCTGTATCCTCCTAGTTTGACGCTCTTCATTAGTAGGAACTCACCAGGGCTCGACCGAGGGACTTCTGGTTTCTGCACTCACACGTTCTTCAATCCTCCTCTAATTGATGTCGACTAGTGGTCACACATGCAATACGTCAAAATCCTACAAGCCGAAACTCCACAATGAATCTGATGCTCACTACCGACTGGCTCTACACTGGAAGTTCTGGAGTGGTATTGAGATGTTGTGACCAGTGCGGTCCACCAAGTCACGTAAGGAAGAACAGATACTGGCCTACGTCTTTGGTTGGTGGTTGTGATGTACATCAATCGCGATTTGTCAGAAGTTGGACAGAGTCGGAGTGGCTGAATAGCAAACAGTCAATTTTGTGGATAGATAGTTGAAGTTCCACAGACAACAAATGTAATGTCAAACAGAGTAAGAGTGAAAAGCACCACAAATAGCGGCCACGAGAATAGAACGAGGCTATTGAATGTGAGAAACGTCGGTGAGAAGTGACAGTTAGGACGGGACGAAAACAACCATGAAGGAATTCTGAACCTAGCAATCTGATAGAGGAAAAGAGAAGGAAGAGTGAAAACGTCAGTTGACAAAATACTGGCAAAAATTGTCGTGAGCAATAGTCAAGGTGTTATGTATGAAATTATGCCGCGAACAGACTATAATAATGTTGCAGAGGACTAAGACAGGGGAGACCAGAGATACGAATTCACAGATTACAGAATAAATAAAGCAATTCCAATACGATTTCACGGAGCACACAAAATGAAAGCAGAATAAATCGGAACGAGGTGAAAACAAAGACTGCACAGGGAAGTGAAGAGAAATTACAAAATTGAAACCGGAAGACAGTAACTAAATGGTCATCGATAGGAGAAAATTCCACAAAACATGCCCAAAATACTAAACAAGAGAAAGTGAAGATGGAGGAGTATGTGGATATTCTCAACAAGGAAAGAGAAAAACCACAAGAAGAGCAACAGAGAAAAACAGAATTTGTGGATAAGAAAATAAGAATAGAGCACAAGTGCACGAAAAAGGGAATAACACAAGTAACACAGACAGCGACAAGCAAATTCACTCCGAGTGTACGTGTTTGTTGTATGAAATGTGAGTGGGCGATCATACTCACTGAATCATCACTCGCCAACACCTCACATCTCGGCCGAAATCGCCATCAACAAATGTCAGACAGGATTGACATTCATTCACCTGTCGTCGTCTCCGTTGTCACGATGAGGAAGAGTGTAGTGTATATTGATTGACACGCTGCCGACTCATTCACTACACTTGCCACACTGCTTTCTTTTTCAGAATCCCCAAAGGCTGAGATAATCGAGGAGGAGGAAATCGTACCGGCGTCGTCAGGTGAGTATATTTCACACTCACACTCGAATCCGTACATAACACCGGCCACTGTCCACACACAAACAAACAAACACACACAGACACATTCATGCACAAACACACAGTACTACAGCCAGTATCACCCCTGAAATGCGCACACCACTTGACTACAGACAACACTCACAATCACTGGTGTCATGCACGCATTCAAAGTGTCAGAGTGAAATCCACAATGGCACACGCACACGCACACACACACGCACATATGTTGAGTGGATGAGGTGGGAAGACATGTGACTCATTGGTTGTGGCCCTCATGGATTGAAGTAGTTGTGTGTCTTACGACTGTCGTGAGGTCCGCCTTACCATGTCAATCGTGCATGTGACGAACTCGACGACGACGACTGTGTGTGTTTGTGTGTGTGTGTGGGTTTGTGTGTGCGCACATGACTGAAGTCGACAGACTTGCACAGACTTCATTCACAATGACATCGTGCAATTCGATGATGTTCGTGAGAGACAGAATTTGATGCGTGGAGTGACGTTAGCAGTGATGAGACACCAGTGTGAGTTGGCGATCAATGTAAGTAACAGCGATCACGACATGCAAAATCTCTCCGAGTGTACGTGTTTGTTGTATGAAATGTGAGTGGGCGATGATACTCACTGAATCATCACTCGCCAACACCTCACATCTCGGCCGAAATCGCCATCAACAAATGTCAGCCAGGATTGACATTCATTCACCTGTCGTCGTCTCCGTTGTCACGATGAGGAAGAGTGTAGTGTATATTGATTGACACGCTGCCGACTCATTCACTACACTTGCCACACTGCTTTCTTTTTCAGAATCCCCAAAGGCTGAGATAATCGAGGAGGAGGAAATCGTACCGGCGTCGTCAGGTGAGTATATTTCACACTCACACTCGAATCCGTACATAACACCGGCCACTGTCCACACACAAACAAACAAACACACACAGACACATTCATGCACAAACACACAGTACTACAGCCAGTATCACCCCTGAAATGCGCACACCACTTGACTACAGACAACACTCACAATCACTGGTGTCATGCACGCATTCAAAGTGTCAGAGTGAAATCCACAATGGCACACGCACACGCACACACACACGCACATATGTTGAGTGGATGAGGTGGGAAGACATGTGACTCATTGGTTGTGGCCCTCATGGATTGAAGTAGTTGTGTGTCTTACGACTGTCGTGAGGTCCGCCTTACCATGTCAATCGTGCATGTGACGAACTCGACGACGACGACTGTGTGTGTTTGTGTGTGTGTGTGGGTTTGTGTGTGCGCACATGACTGAAGTCGACAGATTTGCACAGACTTCATTCACAATGACATCGTGCAATTCGATGATGTTCGTGAGAGACAGAATTTGATGCGTGGAGTGACGTTAGCAGTGATGAGACACCAGTGTGAGTTGGCGATCAATGTAAGTAACAGCGATCACGACATGCAAAATCTCTCCGAGTGTACGTGTTTGTTGTATGAAATGTGAGTGGGCGATCATACTCACTGAATCATCACTCGCCAACACCTCACATCTCGGCCGAAATCGCCATCAACAAATGTCAGCCAGGATTGACATTCATTCACCTGTCGTCGTCTCCGTTGTCACGATGAGGAAGAGTGTAGTGTATATTGATTGACACGCTGCCGACTCATTCACTACACTTGCCACACTGCTTTCTTTTTCAGAATCCCCAAAGGCTGAGATAATCGAGGAGGAGGAAATCGTACCGGCGTCGACAGGTGAGTATATTTCACACTCACACTCGAATACGTACATAACACCGGCCACTGTCCACACACAAACAAACAAACACACACAGACACATTCATGCACAAACACACAGTACTACAGCCAGTATCACCCCTGAAATGCGCACACCACTTGACTACAGACAACACTCACAATCACTGGTGTCATGCACGCATTCAAAGTGTCAGAGTGAAATCCACAATGGCACACGCACACGCACACGCACACACAAACGCACACACAAACGCACATATGTTGAGTGGATGAGGTGGGAAGACATGTGACTCATTGGTTGTGGCCCTCATGGATTGAAGTAGTTGTGTGTCTTACGACTGTCGTGAGGTCCGCCTTACCATGTCAATCGTGCATGTGACGAACTCGACGACGACGACTGTGTGTGTTTGTGTGTGTGTGTGGGTTTGTGTGTGCGCACATGACTGAAGTCGACAGACTTGCACAGACTTCATTCACAATGACATCGTGCAATTCGATGATGTTCGTGAGAGACAGAATTTGATGCGTGGAGTGACGTTAGCAGTGATGAGACACCAGTGTGAGTTGGCGATCAATGTAAGTAACAGCGATCACGACATGCAAAATCTCTCCGAGTGTACGTGTTTGTTGTATGAAATGTGAGTGGGCGATGATACTCACTGAATCATCACTCGCCAACACCTCACATCTCGGCCGAAATCGCCATCAACAAATGTCAGCCAGGATTGACATTCATTCACCTGTCGTCGTCTCCGTTGTCACGATGAGGAAGAGTGTAGTGTATATTGATTGACACGCTGCCGACTCATTCACTACACTTGCCACACTGCTTTCTTTTTCAGAATCCCCAATGGCTGAGATAATCGAGGAGGAGGAAATCGTACCGGCGTCGTCAGGTGAGTATATTTCACACTCACACTCGAATCCGTACATAACACCGGCCACTGTCCACACACAAACAAACAAACACACACAGACACATTCATGCACAAACACACAGTACTACAGCCAGTATCACCCCTGAAATGCGCACACCACTTGACTACAGACAACACTCACAATCACTGGTGTCATGCACGCATTCAAAGTGTCAGAGTGAAATCCACAATGGCACACGCACACGCACACACAAACGCACACACAAACGCACATATGTTGAGTGGATGAGGTGGGAAGACATGTGACTCATTGGTTGTGGCCCTCATGGATTGAAGTAGTTGTGTGTCTTACGACTGTCGTGAGGTCCGCCTTACCATGTCAATCGTGCATGTGACGAACTCGACGACGACGACTGTGTGTGTTTGTGTGTGTGTGTGGGTTTGTGTGTGCGCACATGACTGAAGTCGACAGACTTGCACAGACTTCATTCACAATGACATCGTGCAATTCGATGATGTTCGTGAGAGACAGAATTTGATGCGTGGAGTGACGTTAGCAGTGATGAGACACCAGTGTGAGTTGGCGATCAATGTAAGTAACAGCGATCACGACATGCAAAATCTCTCCGAGTGTACGTGTTTGTTGTATGAAATGTGAGTGGGCGATCATACTCACTGAATCATCACTCGCTAACTCCTCACATCTCGGCCGAAATCGCCATCAACAAATGTCAGCCAGGCTTGACATTCATTCACCTGTCGTCGTCTCCGTTGTCACGATGAGGAAGAGTGTAGTGTATATTGATTGACACGCCGCCGACTCATTCACTACACTTGCCACACTGCTTTCTTTTTCAGAATCCCCAAAGGCTGCGATAATCGAGGAGGAGGAAATCGTACCGGCGTCGTCAGGTGAGTATATTTCACACTCACACTCGATTCCGTACATAACACCGGCCACTGTCCACACACAAACAAACAAACACACACAGACACATTCATGCACAAACACACAGTACTACAGCCAGTATCACCCCTGAAATGCGCACACCACTTGACTACAGACAACACTCACAATCACTGGTGTCATGCACGCATTCAAAGTGTCAGAGTGAATTCCACAATGGCACACGCACACGCACACGCGCACACAAACGCACACACACACACACATATGTTGAGTGGATGAGGTGGGAAGACATGTGACTCATTGGTTGTGGCCCTCATGGATTGAAGTAGTTGTGTGTCTTACGACTGTCGTGAGGTCCGCCTTACCATGTCAATCGTGCATGTGACGAACTCGACGACGACGACTGTGTGTGTTTGTGTGTGTGTGTGGTTTTGTGAGTGCGCACATGACTGAAGTCGACAGACTTGCACAGACTTCATTCACAATGACATCGTGCAATTCGATGATGTTCGTGAGAGACAGAATTTGATGCGTGGAGTGACGTTAGCAGTGATGAGACACCAGTGTGAGTTGGCGATCAATGTAAGTAACAGCGATCACGACATGCAAAATCTCTCCGAGTGTACGTGTTTGTTGTATGAAATGTGAGTGGGCGATGATACTCACTGAATCATCACTCGCCAACACCTCACATCTCGGCCGAAATCGCCATCAACAAATGTCAGCCAGGATTGACATTCATTCACCTGTCGTCGTCTCCGTTGTCACGATGAGGAAGAGTGTAGTGTATATTGATTGACACGCTGCCGACTCATTCACTACACTTGCCACACTGCTTTCTTTTTCAGAATCCCCAAAGGCTGAGATAATCGAGGAGGAGGAAATCGTACCGGCGTCGACAGGTGAGTATATTTCACACTCACACTCGAATCCGTACATAACACCGGCCACTGTCCACACACAAACAAACAAACACACACAGACACATTCATGCACAAACACACAGTACTACAGCCAGTATCACCCCTGAAATGCGCACACCACTTGACTACAGACAACACTCACAATCACTGGTGTCATGCACGCATTCAAAGTGTCAGAGTGAAATCCACAATGGCACACGCACACACACACGCACATATGTTGAGTGGATGAGGTGGGAAGACATGTGACTCATTGGTTGTGGCCCTCATGGATTGAAGTAGTTGTGTGTCTTACGACTGTCGTGAGGTCCGCCTTACCATGTCAATCGTGCATGTGACGAACTCGACGACGACGACTGTGTGTGTTTGTGTGTGTGTGTGGGTTTGTGTGTGCGCACATGACTGAAGTCGACAGACTTGCACAGACTTCATTCACAATGACATCGTGCAATTCGATGATGTTCGTGAGAGACAGAATTTGATGCGTGGAGTGACGTTAGCAGTGATGAGACACCAGTGTGAGTTGGCGATCAATGTAAGTAACAGCGATCACGACATGCAAAATCTCTCCGAGTGTACGTGTTTGTTGTATGAAATGTGAGTGGGCGATCATACTCACTGAATCATCACTCGCCAACACCTCACATCTCGGCCGAAATCGCCATCAACAAATGTCAGCCAGGATTGACATTCATTCACCTGTCGTCGTCTCCGTTGTCACGATGAGGAAGAGTGTAGTGTATATTGATTGACACGCTGCCGACTCATTCACTACACTTGCCACACTGCTTTCTTTTTCAGAATCCCCAAAGGCTGAGATAATCGAGGAGGAGGAAATCGTACCGGCGTCGACAGGTGAGTATATTTCACACTCACACTCGAATCCGTACATAACACCGGCCACTGTCCACACACAAACAAACAAACACACACAGACACATTCATGCACAAACACACAGTACTACAGCCAGTATCACCCCTGAAATGCGCACACCACTTGACTACAGACAACACTCACAATCACTGGTGTCATGCACGCATTCAAAGTGTCAGAGTGAAATCCACAATGGCACACGCACACACACACGCACATATGTTGAGTGGATGAGGTGGGAAGACATGTGACTCATTGGTTGTGGCCCTCATGGATTGAAGTAGTTGTGTGTCTTACGACTGTCGTGAGGTCCGCCTTACCATGTCAATCGTGCATGTGACGAACTCGACGACGACGACTGTGTGTGTTTGTGTGTGTGTGTGGGTTTGTGTGTGCGCACATGACTGAAGTCGACAGACTTGCACAGACTTCATTCACAATGACATCGTGCAATTCGATGATGTTCGTGAGAGACAGAATTTGATGCGTGGAGTGACGTTAGCAGTGATGAGACACCAGTGTGAGTTGGCGATCAATGTAAGTAACAGCGATCACGACATGCAAAATCTCTCCGAGTGTACGTGTTTGTTGTATGAAATGTGAGTGGGCGATGATACTCACTGAATCATCACTCGCCAACACCTCACATCTCGGCCGAAATCGCCATCAACAAATGTCAGCCAGGATTGACATTCATTCACCTGTCGTCGTCTCCGTTGTCACGATGAGGAAGAGTGTAGTGTATATTGATTGACACGCTGCCGACTCATTCACTACACTTGCCACACTGCTTTCTTTTTCAGAATCCCCAAAGGCTGAGATAATCGAGGAGGAGGAAATCGTACCGGCGTCGTCAGGTGAGTATATTTCACACTCACACTCGAATCCGTACATAACACCGGCCACTGTCCACATACAAACAAACAAACACACACAGACACATTCATGCACAAACACACAGTACTACAGCCAGTATCACCCCTGAAATGCGCACACCACTTGACTACAGACAACACTCACAATCACTGGTGTCATGCACGCATTCAAAGTGTCAGAGTGAAATCCACAATGGCACACGCACACGCACACACACACGCACATATGTTGAGTGGATGAGGTGGGAAGACATGTGACTCATTGGTTGTGGCCCTCATGGATTGAAGTAGTTGTGTGTCTTACGACTGTCGTGAGGTCCGCCTTACCATGTCAATCGTGCATGTGACGAACTCGACGACGACGACTGTGTGTGTTTGTGTGTGTGTGTGGGTTTGTGTGTGCGCACATGACTGAAGTCGACAGACTTGCACAGACTTCATTCACAATGACATCGTGCAATTCGATGATGTTCGTGAGAGACAGAATTTGATGCGTGGAGTGACGTTAGCAGTGATGAGACACCAGTGTGAGTTGGCGATCAATGTAAGTAACAGCGATCACGACATGCAAAATCTCTCCGAGTGTACGTGTTTGTTGTATGAAATGTGAGTGGGCGATCATACTCACTGAATCATCACTCGCCAACACCTCACATCTCGGCCGAAATCGCCATCAACAAATGTCAGCCAGGATTGACATTCATTCACCTGTCGTCGTCTCCATTGTCACGATGAGGAAGAGTGTAGTGTATATTGATTGACACGCTGCCGACTCATTCACTACACTTGCCACACTGCTTTCTTTTTCAGAATCCCCAAAGGCTGAGATAATCGAGGAGGAGGAAATCGTACCGGCGTCGTCAGGTGAGTATATTTCACACTCACACTCGAATCCGTACATAACACCGGCCACTGTCCACACACAAACAAACAAACACACACAGACACATTCATGCACAAACACACAGTACTACAGCCAGTATCACCCCTGAAATGCGCACACCACTTGACTACAGACAACACTCACAATCACTGGTGTCATGCACGCATTCAAAGTGTCAGAGTGAAATCCACAATGGCACACGCACACGCACACGCACACACAAACGCACACACACACGCACATATGTTGAGTGGATGAGGTGGGAAGACATGTGACTCATTGGTTGTGGCCCTCATGGATTGAAGTAGTTGTGTGTCTTACGACTGTCGTGAGGTCCGCCTTACCATGTCAATCGTGCATGTGACGAACTCGACGACGACGACTGTGTGTGTTTGTGTGTGTGTGTGGGTTTGTGAGTGCGCACATGACTGAAGTCGACAGACTTGCACAGACTTCATTCACAATGACATCGTGCAATTCGATGATGTTCGTGAGAGACAGAATTTGATGCGTGGAGTGACGTTAGCAGTGATGAGACACCAGTGTGAGTTGGCGATCAATGTAAGTAACAGCGATCACGACATGCAAAATCTCTCCGAGTGTACGTGTTTGTTGTATGAAATGTGAGTGGGCGATCATACTCACTGAATCATCACTCGCCAACACCTCACATCTCGGCCGAAATCGCCATCAACAAATGTCAGCCAGGATTGACATTCATTCACCTGTCGTCGTCTCCGTTGTCACGATGAGGAAGAGTGTAGTGTATATTGATTGACACGCTGCCGACTCATTCACTACACTTGCCACACTGCTTTCTTTTTCAGAATCCCCAAAGGCTGAGATAATCGAGGAGGAGGAAATCGTACCGGCGTCGTCAGGTGAGTATATTTCACACTCACACTCGAATCCGTACATAACACCGGCCACTGTCCACACACAAACAAACAAACACACACAGACACATTCATGCACAAACACACAGTACTACAGCCAGTATCACCCCTGAAATGCGCACACCACTTGACTACAGACAACACTCACAATCACTGGTGTCATGCACGCATTCAAAGTGTCAGAGTGAAATCCACAATGGCACACGCACACGCACACACACACGCACATATGTTGAGTGGATGAGTTGGGAAGACATGTGACTCATTGGTTGTGGCCCTCATGGATTGAAGTAGTTGTGTGTCTTACGACTGTCGTGAGGTCCGCCTTACCATGTCAATCGTGCATGTGACGAACTCGACGACGACGACTGTGTGTGTTTGTGTGTGTGTGTGGGTTTGTGTGTGCGCACATGACTGAAGTCGACAGACTTGCACAGACTTCATTCACAATGACATCGTGCAATTCGATGATGTTCGTGAGAGACAGAATTTGATGCGTGGAGTGACGTTAGCAGTGATGAGACACCAGTGTGAGTTGGCGATCAATGTAA